GAACAAGGTGAGCTCTGATTGTTGTCGATTTCTACAACTTTTTTTCTTATGATTTAGTTGTGATTAAGAAAAGAGGCATTGGACTTCACAAGTTAGTTTTCATGCTCCCAGATTGCACCAGCAAGAACCTTTAAGCAATAAGAACATATTTACCCCAGAACTATTGTCACTATGACATGAAATTACTAGGTTGTAATACAAGAAGTTCTATCTAAAACAGGGTAAGACTTCACTAGGAGGCAAACCTAAGAGAAACATAAACCTTGACTATCTGCCAAGGTAAAGATTAGCAGTTGTTCATATTCCATACCTATAGGAAGAAGGTGATTTATCTAGCAGCCAAGGATTATAGTACTGAATCGTGACAGTAAATTATCTTGGTGACCGTTGATGTATAAGGCTAGGCATGGCCATAAGAAGACCATGTATAAAAAGATCAGACTACCATGATGTATGCTTCTTCATTGGTTAAGCTTTGAATACAGACTTGGCATCCTATTCCTATCTTTACATGTGTCCTTTGTCATTGTTTCATCATCTGAGGTTCTGTAATTAGGTCATTTCCATATATTCTTTTTACAATGTGTAAGTTACCATGGCTTATTTAATTCCGAGTTTGTATAATGTTTGAAAACTTTGTTTTCCTTCAGCTTTCATAAAAAAGAAGTGTAGTGGTACTTTTTCATCTATATTTAACTACCTATTTCACATGCATAATCCAATGCCAACTGGAGCTTGAATTTCATGGGTTAAGTGTAGTGGTACTTTTTGCTAAATTTGTTGGGAGGTTTCGTTTGACTTTTCACACAACAACGAAGAAAATTACTTGGCTCGGTCTAAAGGGAAGTGTACACCATACTTATTTCATTAAGAATGATGCTCAGCAAGCTAAGAGATGTGTATGTATTTCAAAACTAGATATGAATTCCATGCTTACGAGTTTCATAAAGTTACGGTCACTGCACATTTTGCAGCATGTTAATGTTGTGAAACACAAATCCTTTAGGATCAAAGAGATTTATAATGTATAACAATTGACTTCTTTTTAAGACTATTTAGACTTCACTATAAAGTGAGAGTCAACAACAAGTCATATAGTCGTCCCGCTGCAAAGCGCGGGCCATATAACTAGTCACTTTAACAGCACATGCAAGACTAAGCTGAGTCTCAGACCCTTTAAGTAATACTTGTGACTTTTATTTACTAGCTAATAGCTAGATCTATCTTTTTTCTTTGTCCGACCTTTTGATGCATAACTCTTTTTTTATTTTTTTTTCTTTTTTCTTCAATCGTCTATTCTTTCGAATATGAAAAACTACATCATTCAACTCTCAAACTCTCTTCTACCTTAGCAGGCCTTTTCGACCAGTCGGTCGTTATTCAAAATTGAATCCTCTCTTCTCTCTCAACAAACTGGGTCGTTTGCATCATTATTTGGTATGTTTTTTTTATAAAGGCGATGATTGGATTGTGATTGTGGATTTTGGGGCGAGGCCGTGAAAAGATGGAGGACACTGAAAGTATGGGCACCTGCCACCCGCAATTGAGAAAAAAGAAGGGGAAGCTCTTCGGTTCGGCAGCAAGTCCGAATGAATGGAAAGCCCTCTTTAAGTTCCATCCCACAAAAGGCCAAATAATGAAACAGTAGTTGGAAGTTTGGGGAATAAAGTGTAGTCCACTATTATATATAAGATAATAATTCCCTTGGCTGGTTTTGTGTATATATTCTCCATTCATCAATAAACAAAGTGTCATATTGCAATACATTTTTGGCTTTCAGTCGGTTCCAACTAAAAATTCATGAAGTAAAACAAGAAAAGTGAAGGTTGAAACATGTTTGAATAGTGGAGGGTAGGGAATCGTCAAACAGGATAGTTAGTCGGGTTTCACAACCACGATAAGATGTTTTACTCCAAGCATTACAGACATAACAAACAAGTAAGCAAATAAGATAAAATTAGCACATGAGGAATGAAAGCAACAAGGGGTGAACTGGCTCATCAAAAGAAAATAATGAACGGCGAAATGGAGGTCCAACTCGACATAAGACAATTTTCTAACTTGAATAACAAGATAATTTATCAAATAACATGGGTGAGATTATCAAAATTCGGTGTGCACTTCAAGGAGCAAAAACTCTCAGAATTGATAAAAGACATAAGGGATTTGCTCTTTCATATGGTCATCACTCTTCACGCACCCCACTTTTATTCAGATGTTGAAGGTATGATCGTACATCATCCTTGTTCCTTGATAGGCTCAATCTACAACCATTACTTGAGCATCAAAGTTTATCATCCTGATGTACACCTCCATGTTAAAACCATGTACCAGAAGTTATCCGTAGAGTTGAATTTAGGTTTGGAGAAACATGATCAATCCGATCTGTTTCCATCTCTACTTGAATCATCACTCAAGAGCTCACTGATGTTAGTAGCAATGGCGGTTGGACCGTAAAAAGCGCTTATATGCAATCCCATTAATATTAATCAATACAATATAATCTGATATCTATATACTATTAGTTAAATACATTTTCAATTTTAATTTTATATGAACAATAATATATAATAAGCAGCATATTATCAGTTCTACCTAGTACACATAATCACCTCATCTTTGCATCTCATACGTACCATTTATAATATGCCTTCACAAATCATGCTGAATATCCGTTTTACTATGGTAATTAGTGCTTGCAACTCTATTTTGAGAAGCATCTCGCAAGTGATGGTGGTTAGGCCTGTTAGCGGTGTTGTTTCGGTTTTAACCGAACCGCAAACACGGTTAACCGCGACCGAGATCAGCCCATCATCGGCAAGCGAAGTCGAGACCGACAGACCCTTCGGTTAACCGCAAACCGCAACCGACGGTTTCGGTTTAGGGTTGCGGTTAGCCGAAACTGGCGGAATTGTGGGGAGAGGGAGGACGAAGGCAGATGGTGCGACGATGGTGACAACCGACGATGGCGAGATGACTGACGACGGTCGACGATTACTGGACTAGGAGTGGGAAGACGAAGGCGGCAGTGGGGACGCGGGGCAGGGCTATGACGACGGCTAGCGACGGTAATTGTCTGCACTCGTTGTCTAAATTTGACGCTAGCTGTTTGGATCTGTGTGCTAAATAAATTTGTGTGTGTTACCAATCCGGCTTTTGCATGAGAGTCCAGCAGCCGGAGCGCACGTGTTGAGCGCTGAGCGGCCGTTAGATGATCACACTTTAGGTAACCAATTCGTGGAGCGAGAACGGGAAGAATTCAAAATCGGCGGGGGAAAACTTTTATTATTATATTATCTTTATTGAATTTTACGTTAAAATAATACGATTAGTAACAAAATAGTACAAAAATAATATTTACGATAGATTTTATAAAATTAAAAGTGGGTGAAACATGCTTACTTAGCTTTAGTAGATGTTCGTATAATTAAAAATGAGAGTACAAAGTTATTTTAATAAAAAGAAGTAATTTCATTTATCAGTTTGTCCCAATAATTCAAGTGGTTGGTTAGGAGAGGTACGTCCTTACTAGAGATGGCAATTTTGCCCATACCCATGAGTATTTTACTATCCAACCCAATTGGTTGGGTATGAAATCCAAATATATGGATATGGGTAAAGTTTGATGGGTTTGTACCTATACCCATTTACTTTGGGTTGGGTTGGGTTTATAACAAATGGACTTGGGTTTGTACCCATGCCCAAATACAAATTACAGTTTGGTACCTAAACTTAATAGATATGCATATTTAGTACCTAAATTTAATTTTTTTTGCATATCAAAATATTGATGGAAAATTACGCTTTGGTACCTAAATTTTTTTGGTCTTACATTTTGTTACCTAAATTTTTCAAGTTTTACAAATAAGTCCAATTTTTGCATGTGTAGTTAAAACACCCTCAAGTAAATGGATATCCATATCCAACCCATACCCATTTAGATAATATCCATATCTAACCCAAACCCATATACAAACCCCAAACCCATACACACATCACCCAAACCCTACCTATAATAAATGGGTCTACTTGGGTTTGGGCAAAACTACCGCAAATATGGTCCCGAGTGACGAGCCTTCAGCTTGGGGATCTCTCTTAATTACATCGTAATGATCTCAACTCCTGAAGCCGCCAAACTAGTGATGAAAACCCACTACGTAACTTTCGCTTCAAAGGCCTTATCTCCTCGCCCAAGACATAATCGATCTACTATTGTTGCAATGACATAGATTTTACGCTCTATGGATATCACTAGAGGCAGATGCGCAGGATCTGTACAGTACTGGAGCTCTTCCGGGCCAAACGAGTTCAATATATCTTTGTGTCGCGTCAGGGAAGAAGAGGTGTCCAATCTCGTGGCTTGATGTCTCACTCGTTTTGCGGCTGCGGGGAAGTCTATGGGTTGTGGATCTCACTCGGATGTTATCTATTGTAAGAAGATTATTTATGAATACTGAAAAAATGGATCAAATTCAATATGGAAACGGAATTAAATTAGACTCAATATAATACCGGTTCAAATTCAATACAAAAGAATAAATATAATAATAGTCAGCATATGGAAAAGAAGAAAACGTTTTGCTGATACACCAGAAATTATTATTCTTCTTTAATTGGATTGAATCTGCAAGTAACATGTACATGTGCATGCTACACCGGGTTTGCTTATATATTAATTAATTCCAATCCAGCCCGCCTCAGAACAGCACAGAACAGAATCTCGAGGAGAACTAGGGTACTATAATAATAAGTTTATTAATTGCCATGAATTAATAAGTAGCACTTAATTGGCAATATATGCACATGTATGAGATAACGTTAAAATTTGGGGATTTTGAAATATAACAAAATTATATATTTGGGGTCTGATTGATTGTGGTCAATTTCAGCCTCCCTAACAAAATTATATAATTGGCCGGGTTCTGATTTTTAGTAAATTTCAGCCCCCCTAAGAAAATTAAAAAATTGGGTTCTGATTTTTAGTCAATTTCAGCCACCCTAACAAAATTATATAATTGGGAGAGGTTCACGTGGACTAGTCGATAATTAATCTATATACATATATAGAAATAATGAAATTAAACATGGGGTTTGGGTGAACTGCCTGTGCCTGGCCTCTATAAATACAACAAATTAAATACCGCAAATATCGATCAGCGATTATATTAGCTCCACTGCTGCAGCATCCAGAGTATCGCCGGAACCTAGCTATGTCGTCTGTGCCACAGTTGATCGCCTCTGCGGGAGCTCCTAAACAAGGAACAGCACCGCCGGCGTTTGGGCCTGCGGCTGCGGCTGCTACTTATCTTCCCACTTTGTGGGTTGATCATGATTTCCTCACCCTCAAGGTTCGTTAATATAATTAAGTTCTTCTTAATTAGCTCTAAATATAATTAAATTAAACTAACTGATCACTGCTGCTACGTACCCATAGTGCATGCATGAGACCTTTTGATCCGTTGCCAATAACAGTTACGTCGTCGCTTTAATCGTTGTTTATATATGTTTGTTATAACTTTCCAATAACGATTTTACGCTTCTTCCTCCAGTGTGAGCATGCATCAACGGTTGAACTTCAACATGAAGAGTTGAAAAAACAAGTAAGAAAGATGTTGAATGCTACTGCTGCAACAGTCGATCAAGCTTGTCAGAAATTGCGATTAATTGACGCTGTTCAGCGCTTAGGTCTGGGTTACCACTTCGAGAGTGAGATCGAAGCTGAGTTATCGAACATGATGATGTCGTCGTCTCCCGTTTCCGAATCCGTTGCTAATGATCTCAACTCAGCTGCCCTCTGGTTCCGTCTCCTCAGACAACAGGGCTTTCATGTCTCCCCAGGTAATTAAAATTGGTGGTTCTAAAGTCGTACGTACGTACGTAGTTACAAATAAAAATATTCATATTGGTTGGAGCTATTTAGTACGTATTAGCATCATGCTAACAAGTTGAGTACTGTTGGGTATGTACGTACACCCTGATGATGTACGTGAATCGTGGCGCGCAGACATTTTGGAGAATTTCAAGGATGGAGAAGGGAACTTCAAGTCCTCATGGGTCTCTGACGTGCCAGCAATGCTGAGCTTGTACGAAGCATCGTTTTTGGCCATACCGGGAGAAGATGTCTTGGACCAGGCACTGGCCTTCACTACCCAAAACCTAATCGGCTCATCATCATCATCGGCGGCGGAGATTACGAGCTCGACGAAGCTGGCAGAAGAAGTAAGCTTTGCCCTGAACAGACCCATCCGAAAGCGCTTACAAAGGGTAGAGGCGAGGCGTTTCATCGATACCTACCAAGCGAACCAGTCTCACGACGGTTCGCTGTTGAGGCTCGCGCAGTTGGACTTCAACATCGTCCAGCAGCAGCATCAGGAGGAGCTACGTGGGATCCAGGAGTAAGTCCATGGAAAATATTTTTGATTTTTTTAACATATACAATTCATCAGTTCAGTAGCAATATTAATTCCTAAAGCTGATTATATATGCATGGACCAAATTCTGTTATATATGTTTATTAAGGTGGTGGGGAAGTTTGGACGTGACGACCAACTTTCCGTATGCGCGAGACAGAATTGTGGAGTGTTACTTTTGGATCATGGGAGTGTACTTCGAGCCTAAGTATCGCCTGGCTAGGAGGCTGCTCACCAAGTTCATAGCAATCATGTCTCTAACGGACGATACTTACGATAACTATGCTACGGCTGAACAGCTGGAAGTTCTCACACAGGCAATTGAGAGGTACGTAATAATGGTTAACTAGTTTGCGACCGTCAAGAATCGAATTTGCCTCAATAATTCGAGTGAGTTGTTGGTTGGGAGAGGTCCATGTTTGTTTCATGCATGTGGCAACTCGTAATTGGTTGCAGGTGGGACATCAATCTCATAAGTGGACTTCCAGGGTCCATCAAGATGCTCTATGGCTTATTTGTGTACATTTTCGATGAATTCGAACAGGCGGTTTCAGGAGAAGGAAGGTCTTTCGGTGTACGCTACGTTAAAAGAGAAGTATGTACGTAGGTTATATATATCATATACTTTTTTTTAAATTTTTTTTTTTTTTTTTTTTTTTGTTGTTTCTGGGTAAGGGATTCGAACCCGGCTATCTAGCTATATAACTACCTAATTAACTAGCTATATTTTCACGTACGATCTCCAGCTAGACAATGCCCTCAAGGCGTTCCTAATGGAGGCCAGGTGGAGGGATGCAAACTACTTCCCGAAGCTAGAAGAGTACATGCAAGTTTCACTGGGAAGCACCTGCTATTCCTTGCTCGCTGCGGTTTCCTTCATCGGCATGGCTGGAGCCGACGCCGCCACAGAAGAGGCCTTTCAGTGGATCTCCGGTGAACCTCAGATGCTCGTCGCCTCCTCAACCGTCTGCAGGCTAATGGATGACATCGTCTCTCACAAGGTTCGTGCATGCATGGTTTCAGCTTTGCTTTGTGTTAGCTAGGAACGATCGAATTGTGATGTTATATAATCCAGCAATGGAAGAAAATAATTAAAAAAAAACACACACACACACATAGGGTTCCCTAATACAATGTATGTGGTTTAAGTTAGTGTACTGGGCAGGTGAGATCGAGTTAATTCCATTATATTTGATGAGATTACAAAGAGATTGAGAAGTATATATAGTATTTCTCAAAACGACATAACCTCACCTCAATTCAATCTGCTAAAAATAAGTTTTTCGGAACAATATATAACTTCTTCCAATTAAATTAATAATCTGATTCAAGATTTCAAAGTCATGCCGGTTTGGTCGTCTCTCCATCAGTAGTAATTATATATATGTTGTGGTATGAAATGTTTACTATTTTATTGCAGTTGGAGCAAGAAAGGAATCACATCCCGTCGGCCATCGAATGTTACATGGAGAAACACAAGGTGGCGGAGGAGGCGGTGGTGGTGGAGCTTTTCAGGGAGCGAGTTGCTGATGCGTGGAAGGACATAAACAAGGAGTTCATGAGGCCGACGGCGGTGGCTGCGCCGCTGCTGGATCGGATTCTGAACTTGACGAGGGCGATTGATGTGATCTACAAGGACGCTGACACCTACACCGACTCATATTTGCTCAAGGACCATGTCGTCTCCATCCTCAAGGAACCCGTCCGTCTCCATTAGTGTCTGAGGAGCATGCATGTGGTCTTCAATAAAGTGCTAGATTTGTGTGCTTATTCTAGCATATTTCATAATAATGATCAGCAAGGACCAAGGTGATTTGAATATTTAATAATAATGATCCATATGATGCTGATTCCGACATTGATTATGATGTTGATGGTTTCCAGTTTAGTACTTAGTCTTTTTGGTTTGGTTAAATTAGTCACTGACCGTTGTCAAACAGCTTGAGCTAGTTTTCAGCTGTTAGTTAGTCTTGTTGCAGATCTGCAGGAGAGTGGGATTGGGGTTGTTTGTTAAGGCCGATTCACTTGGCTAGTTTGTGTGTGTATATTCTCCATTCATCAATAAATAAAGTGTCAGATTGCAATACATTTTTGGCTTTCAGTCGGTTCCAACTAAAAATTCATGAACTAAAACAAGAAAGGTGAAGGTTGAAACATGTTTGAATAGTGGAGGGTAGGGAATCGTCACACAGGATAGTTAGTCGGGTTTCACAACCACAATAAGATGTTTTACTCCAAGCATTACAGACATAACAAACAAGTAAGCAAATAAGATAAAATTGGCACATGAGGAATGAAAGCAACAAGGGGTGAACTGGCTCATCAAAAGAAAATAATGAACGACGAAATGGAGGTCCAACTCGACATAAGTTGAGTATCAAAGTTGATCATCCTGATGTACACCTCCATGTTAAAACCATGTACCAGAAGTTATCCGTAGAGTTGAATTTAGGTTTCGAGAAACATGATCAATCCGATCTGTTTCCATCTCTACTTGAATCATCACTCAAGAGCTCACTGATGTTAGTAGCAATGGCGGTTGGACCGTAAAAAGCGCTTATATGCAATACAATTAATATTAATCAATACAATATAATCTAATATCTATATACCATTAGTTAAATACATTTTCAATTTTAGTTTTACATGAACAATAATATATAATAAGCAGCATATTATCAGTTCTACCTAGTACACATAATAACCTCATCTTTGCATATCATACGTACCATTTATATTATGCCTTCACAAATCATGCTGAATATCCGTTTTACTATGGTAATTAGTGCTTGCAACTCTATTTTGAGAAGCATCTCGCAAGTGATGGTGGTTAGGCCTGTTAGCGGTGTTGTTTCGGTTTTAACCGAACCGCAAACGCGGTTAACCGCGACCGAGATCAGCCCATCGTCGGCAACCGAAGTCGAGACCGACAGACCCTTCGGTTAGCCGCAAACCGCAACCGACGGTTTCGATTTAGGGTTGCGGTTAGCCGAAACTGGCGGAATTGTGGGGAGAGGGAGGACGAAGGCAGATGGTGCGACGATGGTGACAACCGACGATGGCGAGATGACTGACGACGGTCGACGATTACTGGACTAGGAGTGGAAAGACGAAGGCGGCAGTGGGGACGCGGTGCAGGGCTATGACGACGGCTAGCGACGGTAATTGTGTGCACTCGTTGTCTAAATTTGACGGCTAGCGACGGTAATTACGTAGCACTCAGTAATTATTTGGCATATATGCACATGTGATCTTTGAGATCCGTTGATATTTGGTCAATTTCAGCCTCCCTAACAAAATTATATAATTGGGGTCTGAGTTTTGGTCAATTTCTGCAGCCTCCCTAACAAAATTATATAATTGGGACAGGTTGAATTCGTGAATATATATAACTCGACCAAGCGCGATGTAATATATATAGTAGTCGTTGCATGTTTTCTATTTTGGATCGCACTTCCATCATTACCATGGATCCATATTTCCAGCAAAAGATGATATCTTGCTTTTCCTCCTCCGATACCCTCCCCTTCCAGCTCATCACACTTGCAACCATTCTTCTTGTAGTCACCTTATTCATCCTAATTAAGCAGAAGAAGCTATCCAAAACTGCCGCCGCTGCTTTAAACCTGCCGCCGGGGCCAAAAAAGCTTCCCATCATAGGAAACATCCACCAGATGCCCGGCGACCTCCCCCACCGGCGACTCAGGGACCTGGCCGGGAAACACGGCCCCGACGTGATGAGCCTTCAGCTTGGGGAGCTCTCTTACATCGTAATCTCAACTCCTGAAGCCGCCAAACTGGTGATGAAGACCCACGACGTAGCTTTCGCTTCGAGGCCTTACCTCCTGGTCACCGACAAGCTCTTCTATGGTCGCAAGGGCATAGGTTTCGCGCCCTACGGAGATCACTGGAGGCAGATGCGCAAGCTCTGCACGCTCGAGCTCTTCAGCGCCAGAAGAGTCCAGTCTTTTCGTCGCATCAGGGAAGAAGCGGTGGCCAATCTCGTGGCCTCTCTTACTGCAGCAGCTGCAGGGGAGACTAGTGTGGATCTCACTCGGATGGCATCTACTGTGACGAGCGCCATAACTACAAGGGCAGCATTCGGTAAAGCGCAGGAGCTAACCGACGCTGCTAATTTTATGGTGGTTGTCGATAATATTTCAGATCTTCTTGGAGGTTTCAGGATCACTGATCTCTATCCTTCCCTCACCTTCTTGCCTGCCCTCACCGGGCTCAAAGCTAAGCTAGAGAAGATGAGCAAGGCATCGGATTCGGTACTTGATCAAATAATCGATGAGCATAAATCGAGAAGAACAAGGGCGGCAACGACCAAAGATGATCGCCATGGATCATATAAAGAGGATCTGGTTGATGTCCTTCTGAATCTTCAAGAGAAGCAGGTGGATCTTGGAGCTCCTCCCATCACAATGGAGGTCGTAAAAGCTATAACTTTGGTGAGTACATATAACACATATATATATATATACGTACGGGAATGAATGAGGTTACTATTGTTGTTTTCTTTGCATTTTTTTTTATATATAATTATTGACTTGTTTATGATTCTCACAATATATATTGACTTTATTAATTAGGAGCTATTTCTAGCTGGAATTGAAACATCAGCTACAACAATAGAGTGGACCATGTCAGAAATGATAAATAATTCGAGGGTTCTACAAATGGCACAAGAGGAGGTTAGACAAGTATATGGTGATGATGGCAAAAACCATATCGACGAAGCAAGTCTTGATCAATTGAATTATTTGGATATGGTAATCGCCGAGAGTTTAAGATTACACCCACCAGGTCCTTTGCTTCTTCCAAGAGAAAATGGAAATCAAAAGGTGGAACTCAGTTCATATGAGGTCCCAATCAACACCAAAGTTATCGTGAACGTCTGGGCGATCAATCGAGATCCTCGTTACTGGAAAGAGGCAGAGAGATTCCTTCCGGAAAGATTTATGGACTACTCAATCGATTATAAGGGAACCGATTTTCAATTCATTCCATTTGGTGCTGGAAGAAGGATGTGTCCTGGAGTTTCTTTTGGAATGGCCATTGTGAAACTTACTCTAGCAAATTTGCTTTTCCATTTTCATTGGGCACTTCCCGCTGGACAGAAAAGCATTGATATGACAGAATGCTTTGGAATGACACTAAGGAAACAATATGCTCTCCATCTTATTCCAGTTTCATATAATCGCGTGCCTTTTGAATGAAGGAGTTTGTAACAAAGATGGTAATATTATATTTATGTTTTTTTTTTTGTTTAAATATGTATAATTTCTCTATATCCTACTATGTTTTTCTACCTAAAACACTTGTTGGGTTTCGGATTCCGTTGTAACCCTCTATTTAAAACACTTACTGGACTAGGAGTGGGAAGACGAAGGCGGCAGTGGGGACGCGGGGCAGGGCTATGACGACGGCTAGCGACGGTAATTGTCTGCACTCGTTGTCTAAATTTGACGCTAGCTGTTTGGATCTTTGTGCTAAATAAATTTGTGTGTGTTACCAATCCGGCTTTTGCACGAGAGTCCAGCAGCCGGAGCGCGCGTATTGAGCGCTGAGCGGCCGTTAGATGATCACACTTTAGGTAACCAATTCGTGGAGCGAGAACGGGAAGAATTCAAAATCGGCGAGGGAAAAATTTTATTATTATATTATCTTTATTGAATTTTACGTTAAAATAATAAGATTAGTAACAAAATAGTACAAAAATAATAATTACGATAGATTTTATAAAATTAAAAGTGGGTGAAACAGGCTTACTTAGCTTTAGTAGATGTTCGTATAATTAAAAATGAGAGTACAAAGTTATTTTAATAAAAAGAAGTAATTTCATTTATCAGTTTGTCCCAATAATTCAAGTGGTTGGTTAGGAGAGGTACGTCCTTACAGCAATTACTTCAACATACGATCCCTGTAAAAGCATAGCTGAACATGTTGGTTTGATACACAAGATGGAAAAGAATAAATATAATAATAGTCGGCATGGAAAAAAAGAAAACGTTTTGCTGATACACCATAAATTATTATTGTTCGATCTTTGAATTCAAACTGCAAATATATATCATGTGCATGTGGCATGCCACACCGGGTTTGCTTATAGTTAATAATTCCAAGCCAGCCCGCCTCACAACAGAACAGAATCTCGAGGAGAAGTAGCTAGGGAACTATATATAATAAGTTCATTGCCATGAATAAATAAGTAGCACTCACTAATTATTTGGCATATATGCACATGTGATCTTTGAGATCCGTTGATATTTTGTCAATTTCAGCCTCCCTAACAAAATTATATAATTGGGGTCTGACTTTTGGTCAATTTCTGCAGCCTCCCTAACAAAATTATATAATTGGGACAGGTTGAATTCGTGAATATTATATCTTTAAAAGAACAAACTACACATTTTACTGTTTGGTAGAGTCACTTCAAATTACTGTTTAGCAGGCTTTTACTGGGCTCTCATTTGTAATTATTGCCCTTCTATCTCTTTTATCTCTGCTTTTTGCCTGGGTTCATTCGCCAAGGACGGCTCTTCTCTCTTCAACTGATCGGTTTTCGGACCTCTTCACCTTTCTCCTGGACTATTACTTGTTTTGCTTTTTCTGACCAAAGGGAGACTTTTTATTACTTATCCCTTCTTTCTTCCTCATGTCTAATCCCCCATTCTTCTCTCCATCTTTCTATATCTGCTTTCTCTCTCCTTCTCTCTTTTGTGCTGAACGACGAAGAAGAAGCAAGGTGAAGAAGAAGAAAAGGAAGATCGAGACATGGGTGAAGCAGAACATGGAGGAGATGACAGAAGAATCCGGCGAAATAGAGACAAACCGGAACTCACAGATTATCCATCAAGATAAAGTCGGTTCTTTTCTTCTAGATTTTTCTGGGTTTTTGTTCAATATCGTTCTTGGAGTTCATCCTGCTTTCTGTTTTTGCTTCTGATTCTTGTTTTTAGTGATAAAGTCGGTTCCTTTCTTCTAGGTTTTTCTGGGTTTTTGTTCAATATCGTTCTTGGAGTTCATCCTCCTTTCTTGTTTTTAGTGTTGTTTGCGGAGATGGACGAAGAAGAAAATGACCGAAGAAAATGGCGTCGACGGGATCGATGATGCTGCCTGGTGCGGATGGAGGGTTGTCGCTGGCTCTACTGAACCCTTGTTTTCTAAATGGATTCATCGAACTTAAATCCACGTCGGTGCTGAGCTTGCGTATGGGATACAGGTTGAAGGGTGAGTATCGAGCCTCTTTTTCGGTTTTTGATTACTTTTAGGGTTTTGAATTTTGCTAAAAAGTTGTTTTCCTAATGGATTCATCAACCTTAAAACCACGTAGGAAATGAGCTTGCTAAGTTGTCGATTGACTTCTGACGAAAGAAGAGTTGTAGTTGGGGACTGCGCCTTCAACGGGAACAACTGCAACAAGAACAAAAAATACAGCAAAATAAAAGAACAGAAAGAGGAGGCGGGTGGCAAGACAGTGTCTTCTTCAATCACAGTAGGTGCTTCTGTCTCTATTTGTTATTTGTACATTCTTCGCATCGGAGCATAGCTTAACATCTTTCTGACTCATTCCTTTCTGAATCTTCCAAAATCGAATGCACCCAATGATCTCGGTGCTTCTTCCCCATCAAATATGTGGTCGTTGGCGCTCGGGGGTGGTCGTGATGCTGCCTGGAGGAGGGAAGAGGTGGAGTTACCATGTGGCGGCGGCAAAGGTGGTCGTGGAAGAGGGACCGACGGAGCAGGCATAAGTGGATTTGCCCATGTCAATTAGCTCTTGCCCTCTTCCTATCCATTCACTTTTCTCACTGCTGTACGGAAAAACAAGAGAACTGAAACAAAAAAAAAAACAAAACTTATCATCAGTCTCTTTGTCTCGAAGAAGGAGGAGAAGGGAGAAAGATGATCCAGCTTAGAAGGGAAGGTTTAAGAGAGGAGGAGATCTCTTTGGTCGATTTTACTCATCCCAGGGGCAAGGTTGATCTCTATTGATCTTTGAAATCTCTCTGCCGGGTTGGATCAATGGGAGATCTCGAGAAAGCTTTCTGCCATGAGAACCGCAATGGAGGAAAGCTTTTGAGATTGGACGGGGATGAACCTTACAAGAAAAGGGAGAAGATCAGTCTTTAAGGAATCTGCGAAATCAGGTACATGGTTTTAAATTTGCCCATTTTTAGTTTTTTTATTTATTTCCAGTTTCTGTAAGCAATATGGATGTCTCAATTGGCCTATTTAGAGTTAGCCAGTGTTTATGCTTTAGGTTTTTGTCGATCATTTTCTTCAGTTGCTACTCACCTTCTCTCTTTCCATTTTGCATATTCGAGCTTGGAGATGGATTCTTTCTTTCCAGCCGTAAGTCCCTGCCGTGGAGTCATTTTTAGTCAAGACATCTCTTTTATCCCTACTCCAACGACATGTCCTTTGCCTAAACCTTGCCGGAACAACGATAGTGTTTATTGATACGTTTAGGGTCGTTCTTTGTATTATTTTCCTTATTCTTCCTGCTGCTCTTCTTTTGCCTTTTCTAATATCTGTTCTTCTTGAATTATGAAGGAGATTAAGTTTTACGGCCAACATTAGTTGAGCCATTGAGCCTTGAGTAGGACTGAGATGGCAGTGGTAAAGGGAAGGTATTACCTTTGGTGTTTTTTGGTCCGCAGAAAAAATGGATGGAAGTCCACATCTTACTGGCCTATATGTTCCAAATATTGGTTTTAAGGTTGTATTTTGTTCCTTTGTGCTAGCTGCATCATGTGGTTTGCAGATTTATCTTTCATATTTCACGAATGGTGTTTTCTTTGTTCTTTCCCGTTTCATTGTCCTAATTTCGCTGATATAATTGTTCTTTATATCTTACTACTGTTTCACTACTTCCTACCTATCATTGCGTGGCCTTTTTCGTTACTGCCCTTTTGTAGCTATCATATCATCCACTTTGTTCAGGCTACATCTTACGACTTCGAGTAAGGTCCAGCTGTACAGGACTCTGCAGTATGTTACCATTGGTTTTTAGCCTTTCAGATTCTGTTAAAGCCTGTTATATAAAGTTCTGCAGCGTCTGATATGCTGGTAGCATGGGTTTCTAGCCATTTAGATTGTAGTGGGATGGAGATACTTAACTTTTTCATTGCATTTCTCCAGGAACTATGCTTTCATCAAACCTGCAGTAAATTGTAGTGGGATGGAGGTACTTTAACATCCAATCTTGCTGCTCTTGCTTCAGTTTTTTTGCCCGCAAGAAAGAGGCAGTTTCTGTACTGGTCATAATATAATTTATTGCCAACAACACCAACATGATCGTTCTCAAGGCCTTGAGGAACTCCAAAAAGGTTTGAATCGTTCCCTTTAATCTGCCATTTAAGCCCATGATTGACTTGTGTGCAATGTTAAATCTTCAGTAACGAGACATTTTTCAAGCCTGTTTCTATCGGTTAAGAGCTACAGTTTTCAGTTGCTAAATGATTGTCGCATAATGTATATTTGCATGTAGTTTACTCTGCTGTGTTTGCTGCATAATGAGATCCTTCTCTTGCCGCTAGAGGAAACATAGCTTTCTGCTATCGGTGGGACAACTATCAACAGTGTGCAAGGTAAGTTTTTAATGTGGATTTGTTTCTTTTCTGATTTTTGTATGTTTCGATTTTTTACTCATCGGTTACTAAACTAATCAGACTTTTCTCTTTGGGTTTTTTAGTTTGGACAAGAGAAGGATAAGGGGGGAGCTGTCGTCAATGTAGATTTCCAAAGGCATCAGAGGCAATTAGGTAATCTTCTTCTTTTTGGGGTTCGGTTCTGTTTATATTCTGGAATTGACCTTTCTTTGATATGATTCTTATATGTTTTTTTTTATTGCTTTCACCCAGACCCATGGCAAGAGAAAGAAGTCGTCATTGCTGATGGGGGAAGTGAACCCATTCCATACTGCAGCTCAACAGCAGACTCGAAGAGGGAATATGTCGTGATCAGCAGAGTGAAGGAAGGTTGACTAGGGGATCGACAGGTACATGTAATTCATTCTTCTACCCTCTGTAGTTTCCAATTTGTGGCCAATTAGGTCTATGCTCAGTTTTATGAGTAGCTCTTGAGTGAAATTAGTTTGGTACTATTGTTCCTAAATACTCCTACCATAAAAGATATGTTCCCAATCGACACTCTCGAATCCAATCATAATGAAGAGTTTCAGTGGACATCATTTTTATTTAGAATGATGATCCACTTGATCATTACAAATTTGTTCTGCATTTTATTTGTGTGCTTGCATATTGGAGTGTTGCACAACAGATTAGAGGTAACCCCTGTAGGCATCGATAATAATCTGAAAAATAAATTTGAAACTTTTGTTCTTTTGTTGATTTTCAGATTCAAGTGTTTGTAAGATGCATCCTAAACAACGTGGTTACGAGAACCTGCAATTGTGGAACAATAGTTAGGGAAATTGCTTTGTGTTTATTATATCTCTGATGCTGAATCGTTATTGTTGAGGATCTGCACTTTTTTGGAATCTGCTTCGATCTCCATCGCTATAGCCTTTATGCATTTGCATTGAATACATTTAGAACTAATGATGCAAAATTGCGCTTATGGACAGTAAATGTGTTTTCATTTTCACATTCCTCGGAGGTCTAGATGACTCTATGTATTTGATTGATGTCTTAATGTATGAAGTTTGTAGTTTATCACTTAAACAAATGTTCTTGGTTTAGAGAAGATGGAGTTTTACGTAAATATTTGATGTTTGGTTTCAGGTGATTGTTCTTGCTCTGCGCCTGTGAGTTCAATTTTATTTATTTGCATATCCTTAGAGAGTATTTTCCAGCCCCGTTCTTTCTCTTTCATGGACTTACATAAACTATCATAATTTGTTAACTCAATTCATTTACCCCAGCTTTCATAAATATACCGTCGTCTTGATACCTCTTTCTTTTAAGTAGTAGAATCAACATTTGGTCATAGCTCGATACCATCCAACAGATTAAAGCTTAAGAAAAGCTTTTGAGTCATATAGTTTAGTGTCATAGGTACAGTTCTACCTCGCATCATGCTTTCTCTATTGACATATGTGTTGGAAATGACTTGGATAGAAATGCTCGAAACTCTGAACCTTGGTATATCAACATTGATATATTTTTATGTGTGGCCTTTATGACATTCCTTATTACCCTCGCTGGCTCATTTTTTTTTTTTTGTCTTATAACATCATAATCGTAGTGGTTTTACATCCAGATGTTTCACAGATCGGTCATTCTATACACTGGTTTACGTGAGACTTGGATTGATTTTAGAGTTGTAAAGTTAACACATACAATCTATTTGGTGGGTTTGGATTCTATAGCCTCTATTTTCTGAATTTTGCTCAATTAATTGGATACTTGCATATCCTTTTTGCTTTGTTAAGGAGATGGGGAAGCATCAATGTAGGCATCATCTCTTTGGTTCCGTGTGTGGCTCTTTCGACCAGTAGCTACTCTTTGTTGATTCCATCACTCATGAAATATCCCTTTCCTTTCAGGAGGGAAGAGCAATTGTCGAACAAATGAAAGAAAATGAGATTGTGTTTTCCCCATCTGACACTGGAGTGACCACTATTTCAAGAGGGAAGCACAATTTTTGATTCAATCATAAGGGCCAGAGCCAATGCCGGTCTTCTCTGCTCCTTCTCTATGCCACCCATACATAATTCGCCTCTTGCAGGTCAACACTTCCACTCATTGTCTCACATATTCTATGTTGGAATTTACAAATTTTGCTTGCTTAACTTGGGTTGAGTACTAATTCTCTATCGTTGGTTTCAGTTTCGAGCATATGGATATTTTCTGTGAGACCGGGTCTGAGGAATGCAACTAAAATTTCGAATCAAAGATATTAGATCAGTTGATGCATGATTTGCCATTGGGGAAAAGATGCACCATGGTGGGATCGATCGGTTGATGTATGAGGGATCTTTCAGCTAATGTGTAACTCTGAAGAAACCACAGAAAGGTAATGCACTCTTCCTCTTCTCCGTCTTCCGATGTTGCTTTATCTAGCTAGATAACATATAATGAATAAACTTTTATATTAGGAATTTGCTCAAACAGTCAAAATGGTTAAGTATGATCTTATGTCTGCTTCTGGAATTACTCTCCTTATATTTCATTGCTCTACTAGCATAACTGCAGTTTATCTTTTTTTGGGTGGAAAGCTCCTACACATTATTGCCATCAGAGACATGGATTGTATAATATGGTATGCATTTCAATTCCAAATTCAAGATACAGAGCTTGTCTTTTTTACCTTTTCTGACTTGAGATTCCATTGGTTTATATATAATCTCGAGTTTGGGACATATTCTGAGTTGCAATTTCTGTTGAGAGAAAACGAAGAAGAGGTCAGGTCAGAGGTTGACCTTTTTTCCTATAGTGGAATTCCACGTAGATTATGTTCTCTTCTTCTCCTTCCTGGTTATTTTCCTACTTGCCATGTATTTCCTTCCTTCAACCTATTATCATTGATTATGCAAGTGTGTTTGCATTTTAAGAGTCATACCCAGTAGATCACCACATTTAGCCGAGGCTATCAGGATAGAGTTATCAGTTGGTTCATCTTCGTTCTGAGTATTGAGAATCTGCTTCTCTCTAATGTAAATTTGTGCAAACGATAATGGTTGGATCTGCCATGAACTCCAGTGGCTGGCGTAATCCACTCAGTATCTGCAGTATACATCTCACCCTTTTTTGTAACTACTTAGTGTGAGGCTTAGCCAGGGTTTTTAATATGTAGTGGTGCTTTTCTAGGGGTTGTGATCGAGATTAGGCTGTCTTTGGGTATGTACATGTTACAGTACAAATCCGGACAATCGTAATGTTGCAGGATCCGATATAAGTAAGTTAGACCATTCAATCTGACTTGATTCAGTATGTTTTTTTATCTGTTATAGTCTTATTATCCTTGCATGCTTTCTGAATGTAAGTTTATCCATAACTATCAATTAGACTTGTGGTGATTTACATTAAGCGACCTTTTGAAGTAGTGTCTGGGATTTCTCATAGTCAGGATAATTTTTTTGCCTTATTGAGTTTGATTTGTGTAGTTTACCTCTTCTTAGTCGCCTGATTCATACTCTGGTGTGCAAAGACACGACCATATTTTCAAGTAGTGTCTGGGATTTCTCATAGTCAGGATAATTTTTTTGCCTTATTGAGTTTGATTTGTGTAGTTTACCTCTTCTTAGTCGCCTGATTCATACTCTGGTGTGCAAAGACACGACCATATTTTCAAAAATTAGTGAAAGTCCAGACTTTTGCCGGATGCTAACTGCCATTCTGCAATAGAGAAATGGGCATAAGTAGATATGATTCAAAGGAAAAGATCAAGAACGCGTCGAGTTTTTGGGTGTTTTTGCTGTTTTACCATCTTTTTATGAATTTTTCCCTCTTTCTGCCTTTTGTTGTTTGTGGCTGAGAAACCATGTGTTTCTGATTTCTCAAGATCAATGTCCTGACCATTTCTCATTGACTTTGTTTTCTTTATTCGTAGAATTGGATGATTCCATTACTGATATCACAGTTCTGATTTTATTGCTGCACAACAACATAAAAAGTAAGACAGCTGCAGCAGGACCCATACAGCTAGCATAAGTAGCAGCAGTACAATGATCCAACATTGTAGAGGATCTCAGATTTTGACAGATAAGAGCATGGTAATTCACTAGGACCCTTGAGAAGTTTTTTTTTACTCGCCCACAAAATTCAATTAATACATATCTGCTGTATTTCTGCATTTTCCAGTTAATTTTAGTATCCATAAGCACTATTAAAGTCACTTAACCATAGCAAAACTAAGTGCCATTATCCTTTATCTCTTGAATCACTTAATTATTGCCCTTCTGTTAATTGATGTCTCACTGTTCTTTGTTAAGGCGTGCTGGGTTTGGGACAACTGAGGAAGTAGAAAGAGTGAGGGGGGAGAAAGAATTTGCAGACGAGGGATGGACATCAACGGCGAACAAACATGAACCCTGGCGGTACTGCTTTGTTCATTTTCTTTGGTCCTGCATTCGTATTGCTCAGTTTTCACAGTTGTTTGTTTTGTTCTCTGCTATTACCATTCTCAGTTTGCGAGGATATCAATGGTAGCTGATAATGCTGGAATCTAAGTGCATTAGGTCAGAGGAAGATATTGGTGGGATTTTGCATCATCAAAGTCTCCATCCTCCATGGATATATAGTGTTAAGCTTATTGTTACTCTTCGCCGTGGAAGCTGCCAAAAGAACAACGAAGCAACCAGTAGTGGTGAGCTCTTCTTATGCTTGAATTTTTTTTTCTTATGCACCTCATTATATTCTTTCTTCGCGCTTCAATAATGGCCGAAAGTGTGATAGTTGAGCCTGAAGAGGGTGTTCTCAATTTGTACACATTGTTCGACCTTCCAGTCTATGCGTACAAATATTTGGTGTTGTTTTCTCCCTATATACACACTTTGTTATTCAGAAGTTTTCTTCTAATATTATAATATCCCATTTGACACGTCCCAGGTGCCTTCCACAAATTAAGTAGCAGAGCGCAGGCTTGGTGTTAATGGAACTGAGATGCATGAGCAAGAGTTGATTTATCCAGATTCCATTAATGTTGTAACCCAGGTAGTGTTCCGATTCCAAACTCTCGAGTTTTTTAGCTGTTTTTTATGCAGCCACTCAGAAGAAAGATTGCCTTGCAGTCTAACAGTTGCTTTGGATCAAATACTTTTTACAATCAAAGCAATCCTCTTTTTTTATTTTACATGTACCTTTGTATGTTTTGTTTCATTAGATTATAGATTTCATGCCTTGGATTTAAATTTAGCTAAATATGATTGACGGTGGTGTCTAAATTCCCCATTGTTTTTATTTTATTTCTCTGTGCCACTTGATGGTACAACTCTTTTCTCTTATGCTATTTACCCCAATTAATTATATAAGTGTTTGCGACCTCAGTTTCATAAAAGAGTGTCTAAAACAAGATACATAGGTAGGACGAAGGGGAGCAAATTTATGCTCTTTTTGTTTGATTTGTTTTCGAGATTTTTGTTCGGTTGTTTTTAGCCATTTGGAACCCAACATCCTATCTTCTGCGTATTAGCAACTTTAAGCATCTAGGATATCATAGTGACATGAACGATCGAGATTGAAATGAGTTTTTTTTAGCAATGTTAGATGGTGTTAGCATGCTTGTGATGGGGAGATTGTTAGAGGTTTCAATCATGCATTATTTTACCTGTTCTAAACTGACCTCATTCTAAATTTAGCTAGCAGTCTTTCTTTCACGAATCAGTAGTGGAAATCAATTTCGAATATAGCTTATGAGTGTTCTTTTCTCATGAGGAAGGGGACGATACAAAAGAAGAAGCCAAAAAAGAAAGAATGACAAGCCATTGAATGGCTAACAGGAGCAAGGAAACAATGAGGATTCAATGGGGAAACTCAAATTCCACGGATTTGGGTCACTCTTTAGACTGCTACAATTTCGTATTTTCCTGTTTACAGATAATTTATATTATGTGTTTTTTTGTTAGATTTATTTAGTCTTTGGAATCTGGTGTGTGCAAAGTTGAGGTCTGAGTTGACAATGGTGTCCTTCTTTCATTTGGGAAGGATTATCTTTTGGTCTTACTTTTACATTTTTTGTTTAGTTTGTTCTGTCGATTTCACTGACTCTGCATTTTATTCACATTACCCATGTTACTTTTGTGATATAGCGTGCGGGTAGAGCTCGATTTGAATATTACATTTTTGGTTAGCTTATCGTTTCATAGCAAAACATGAATGAATTATTGCTCAGCCACGTAACCATCTTTCCAGTGCAATTTTCTTGCAACTTACACAAGATTATTACCATCTGTGTCCAACATTTGTTATCAAATTGGAGTAAATGGATGAAATGATAAGTTTACACATAAGAACATGTAGTTAACTTTGTTGGCAAACTTAAAAATCCCGCCGCGGAGCGCGGTTTCCATAGTTATTATTATTATTATTATCTCTATAAGAGAACAAGTAGCCAAGTTACTATTGCATAGTGTCCCATCACAAGGGGTTTCTTTTTGTAATTAACCAAAGTTTGTGGTGCCATTTTTGCATTAAGGTTCTAATTAATTCTTTTATGACAATTGAATTCAAATTGAACCCAAATAAATTGACATTCGGCCTACTTTGGCCCGGTTAAAGCGAGCTTAGCCCGATGTTGTGGAATTTTGCCTCAACAATGAGTTTTTCATGCTTAAATTTATTAAATTAACCAAAACTTGAAAGAGTTCTTTACATTAAGGTTGTAATTAATTAAATTATGACAGTTGAATCAATATTGAACCCAAATCAATCGGTATTCGACCTACATCGACCCGGTTAAAGCAAGTTGAACCCGGTGTTGACGAATTTTGGCTCAACGAGTTTTGCAAGCTTAAGTCGATGTCCATTACTTTCGACCTAATGTCGAACTGGTTAAAGCGAGTTGAACCCTGTGTTACCGAATTGTATTCGACCGTATTCAACACGGGTTTGATTGGTCTTTCCTTGCAAATTTTTCGTTGTGTCGACCTTGCAAATGTTTTGGGTTTTTGTTTTTGGATTTTGTGACGAGTTTTATCATCATTCCCTCGACCCAGTTAAAGCGAGTTTAACCCGATGTTGCGAATATGTTTCTAACCACAGAGCCTTTTTGTAGGTTCTAATTAATTAACTTATAACAATTGAACTCGAATTGATCCCATAATCAGACTACACTAACCATTTCCGCCACATTTTCTCCGCAGAGTCTTCACGGCCATGGTTTTACTTAGGACGTGCATTTTGTTCTAATACAGTTAGGGAGTTTCCAGGTAGTGTTGATTTTTGGTGTGAAGAGCATGGCCAATTGATACCTCAGGAAACCCAAAAATGGTCAGTTTAGCATCAAACAGTTTTTTCCCATTACGAGGTTCAAAATCAATTAAACTCTTAATTTCTGACACATTTTTCCAGCTACAAAATCCATTTAGCGGTGGGAGACACTACTGGTTCCGCATGCTTCATTATGACGTTCAACTCCCTAAACTTGGATATTTGCCTCATACTCCCCTAGAGTTTACTATCCTTTCTGTAGTCGGCCACAACCAGCTTCAACAATAGCCCAAGCAAACTGCAACGCAGACACGGATCACCCACCCAGCAACATCATCATCCATGCCAGTGGATTCTCACCAACATAGATTAACGGTGTCCATGAAAAAATACCCTACCTGTTAAATAAAAAGTGTCTTAAGATGTTACCGAACAAAAAACTTCTACTTCATTAGTCTGGGAACAAATATTAACATGCAAGACTTTGGCTATCACCTATCTACCATATTGCCTCTACTCTTGTGAATACTTGCATAACATGTTATCCTGCTTTCCAACTCTTCTGGCTCCTTAATTAGCACTACTTTTACACTACATTTTTAAGAGGACAATGTCAACATCTCCACCACTTCCAACAAGCATTTACATAACTTTCAGTTGCCCCACCATCACCAAACGACACTCTTTTACATCACATTCAATGCAAAACAGTAATTAATCAATTTGACAACAACTAATATGTACTGCTGCTTTAGTATGGGAACACCCGCTTTGCAATACAAAATAATATTATATGTACCTAATGTTTAATTCCAATGCAAAGTTTTTACATGTACAAATCATATGTTTTTTATTAAATCGGATGTTCTCTACTCAATCTACTCATGGGCACACAAATATGTCAATTCCCATAGCAAAC